TCTGCCCGTCTCACCATCCTCTCTCTGTTTCTCTTTCTCTCTCTCCCCCTATCTATCTATATCCCCTATCTTCCCCCCCTCTATGGGCCCCCCCCCCTGACTCGCGGATGCCTAATTTGTTATTCCCTTCTCTTCCTCTCTATGCTCACCTCCTCAAGGTATCGGCACGCGTCCCCAAGCGGATGTATGTGTTTGTGTGCGGACGCGGGCCGCCTGCTCTCTGTATAGCCTCCAGTATCTTTTATCAAGACGTTTGCCGACCACGCCCCCTTTCTCTCGTGCCTGCGTGGGGCTCAACGTTGGTCCCGCGCCTTCTTTGCTATCAAATAGGTTTTTTTTTCACCCTCTGCTCATATCCCCTTTCATGAAAACAGAGATCGAAGTTGAGCCGGCTTATTACTATTATTGCTAGATAGCATCGACTAGTTTTGACTCGGCCAACGTTTTAAGCTTGTGGTAGTCAAATATTAGCTGTGGGTACTCATGCTCGAGTAGCTTTCGCAACGGCTTAGTAGGGACATGTTACTGCCATCGCGTTACTTTGTCCGATAGATTTTGAAATTTGACATTTATAAAATGTGTCGTACTCGTACACGTACAAACGTAGGTTGCTCGGGTTGCTCCCACCAAGCTGCTCGTCATTCGCTTTCGAGTCGATACGTAGTGCTTACATTTACATACAATCTTGAATTATTAGGGATCGTCCAGAAAGTACGAACTTTTTTCTCAAGATTCTTTCGGTTAATTTCGGGACCAAGGCGCCTGCGAGAGTCGAGGTAGGCCACCCCGCAGTACACGCATGCAGTCCAACTAAGATGTTGCCTACCCAGCAGGCGCCATATGATGAGAGCTGGCATGGCTGAACTTGGTAGTACCGTAAGGGTGATTGCACGACTTCTTCTGTGCAAATTTTTCCTGTACCCGGTAGGACAGTTTTTGACAGTGCAACTGAGTTTTTAAAAATAATGTTCTTCCAGCCCTGGATCCCCCCCTCCCTCCCTCCCTCTCTCTCTCTCTCTCTCTCTCTCTCCCTCCCCCTCTCTCCCCCGCTGCCCGTCCCGGGGTAGCGAACCGACACGACGGTCACGGCTCTAATTGTTCGTGTCCATGTCGTGACATTATCGAGTTACCACACACACGACACAGGAAGATGATTCCCCTCGTGACGGGCCTGCTGGAGCCGTACCGTACCGCATGTCATTATTGATGGCTCCTCCTTCTGCGAGGTCACAGGGAGGCGCATAGCGTATCCAGTGTTCGATCGCGACGCACGGCCGTATGTGTCTCGTGGGGTTCTCGTCGTGCGGCGCGTGAACGGCGGCTGCAGCGGCTGCGGCGCCCGCAACATGTCACAGCCGCCGCTGCTACCGCTGCGGCCGCGCGGGTATTGAAAGTCGACGCGCATAAAATGAAATGGGATCGCTTTGGGGCACATGATACGAGGACGTTGTCGACTGGACGAGAGTGAATGTCGGTTGAGGGAAGGGGGGGGCGAGGGAAAGGTGGGGCGAGGGAAAGGTGGGGTAGTGGTTGTGGGGGTCGGAAGGGGGACTCAAAATAGATCGATGTTATTTCTGCGTCTCTAATTCCACCGGTAATTACGGCGCAGGGCTGCTGCCGCCTTCACGCGGGCGCGCGGAACAAGGTTTGTGTGAGAAATGGACGAAAAGATGGGGGTAAGTTGACGATGACCGAGCGGGAGGGAAGGGTCCGGAACCACCGCACGCTCTCAAGGTCCCCGAGTGGTGCCGCTGAGGTTTTATTACCGTGTCGGATCAAGCAGAGCCAAAGTTTTGAATTTTTCTACAGAAAAATTGGGCTTAGCTCTTACGTCGGAAAAACGAAGGGGTTAGGTCGCACTTTTGCGGAAGGTGCAAGCTAAAGAAATTCCGAGTTTATGACTTTATTAAGGTCGAGATAAAGGTGGTAAAAATACTCAAAGTTACAAAAAGTAAGCAAAACTTTGTACTTTGGCCTTTTGATGTCCTTCGAAAGGCGCCAAGCAGTTCCAGCACGACACTGAAGGGACACTAAAAATTAACCGTCTTCGAAAAGCATGGTGTTGTGTGGACTTTGGTCCTGCCCACGCTTTTGCGTCTCACGCCCGTGTGTTTGTTTAGCACTCGCACACTTTGGCGCCGTTGGCCCAGGAAGCGTGGTTTCGCTCTGCCCTTCCCGCCCACTCAGGTGTCGGTCTCTGGTTGCAGGTGACGTGGAGGACTGCTGCGTGGTGGCGGTGCCCCAGAGCCAGTTCACGCCGCTACCCGAGGCGCTCTGCTGGGTCATCCTGGAGCTCACCTCGACGGGGCAGGCCGCCGTGCTGCCCGCCATCCTGCGGGCGCTGCCCAGGGCCTTCCCCGCCATGACCAGGCCCGACAGCAGCGTCGTGTACGACGCCCTGGCCAAGCTGTCGACCGACAGAAAGGTAAGGACTTGTGGCACGCATCGGAAGTTCTGCTGTGTGGGAGTAGGTGCAATCCTTTTTAGTTGTGAACAATAAGGGCGTCCTGCATGCAAAGCAAGCCATAGGGAAGTTGCTCGGACAGATTCGGTTGGCGCTTAAATTTTGGGAGTGGCTTTTTCTACCGTTCGTCCTCGTAATTTAATTGTAAAATGCCACGGAAATTCCAAAAAATAATACACGATTTATCACAACTATATGAGGGGGTTTTAAATTTCATGGAAAATGCCAGGAGCCAAAATGTGGACACCCTCATACTTTTTACCCAGACTGTCTACCAGGCCAGGACACGCGTTTACCTCTCCAGTGTACGACATCCGTCATGACCGCTTTCCTACCGACTCACATCATGTATGAGCTGCGCCCACCAGACTTGAAGTTGCGAACAGGAATACAAGCAGGAAGAAGGAAAAAATTGCAGAATTAAGAAGAAAAGACGAGTTATGACAAGGCAGTCGTTACGAGTGGAGTGTAACCGTGTGGTCAGACGGCTCGCTCGCTGCAGCCGCGCTCAGATTCTGCGAGGTGTGGTGCGGGTATATGGTATCGCCTGTCGCGTCGTTGTTGAAATAGGCCCCAAATGTCCCCGGCCGGTGCACAATAACCCTTCATGTCGACACCACACTGCCTCGCTCGCTCTCGCCGTCCTCTCCTCTCTCCCTCTCACATAAAGACGTCTGCTGCGGACTCAATCTCCATACATCTCCTGCTCCCGGGCTGACGTCAGTCCGAATGGAGTTGCGCGTCCCCACCGCAGAAATATGTAATTGTGTCTCGGAGAAGGACGCCGCCGCTCCCGGCCACCACCGCTGCTGCTTAGGACGGAAGAAAAGAGGCGGGGGGGGGGGGGGGCACTACAGGGGGTCCTCTGGGATACGGTTCCCAAAAGGAGAAGGGGACCTCCACGACAACGCAGTCCCGGTACATCTTTTGTTTGCGGTTAGCTGAGGAGCCCGGGGGGGGGGGGGTATATTTAGTGAGGTACTGTACTCCGTATACCATCGCTATGGGTACTGGGCCGTGCTCCTCCGCTGGCTGCTGCTGCTGCTGGAGCGTGCTCGGCTGGGTCGAGAGGGGGGAAGTCCTTTACCTCTTCATTGTGATTAAGCTGCCGTGTGTATCTAAGGAGGCGTGGCCTGGCGTAGCGTAGCGCTGTGAAGCAGGGCCAAATTTTCTTTACCACAAAAGCGGGCGGCCGCCGCTCCTTAAGCGGACGTCCAGGTCGTGACTGCCCCCCCCCCCCCTCCCCTCTCCCCGGTGCCCTCCTGTGCCCTCGCTCTTGAAGCGTCATTGTCACCGTGGCGATCATAATTGGATAAAAGTCTCCATCAGCCTCGCTGAGTGCGGGATTTGGGCGCACACAAGATGCTTGCGTCGTGTGAGGTGGCGCGGCATAGTTGGGCACTACGACTACGAAGGGAAAAAAAATTGGCTGTCGGGTGTCCGGTATGGTGGTGCACCAGGTGGTCCATTCGTGTCGCTAGCTCGGGTGAAATTATCAGCTCAGAGAGAGAGAGGGGGGCGGGGTAGGTGAGGGGGCATGCGTGTCTGTCGAGTGATCGAGTGACTGGCCGCTCGGGTCGAAAGGTCCGCGGAGTGCAGCCGTTCGGTGGAAAGGAACAAGAGGAAGTGGAGAGGAGGGGCTAGGGCCCGCTGGGCCGGGGGCGTGCATCAGGTGGTATCAACAGCGCGCCACCCAGGACGAGTGCTGCGGGAGCAGCTGCTGCCGCTGCTGCCTGTCCCGTGGCGTGGCCGGCGTGGCGTGCCGGGGCCCCGACTGCCGACTCGTCCCGCCATGCCGCTATTAGCGGAGAAAATTGAGCATATGCCCATTCCCCTTGAGGCACTCTGTCTGCCCGTCTCACCATCCTCTCTCTGTTTCTCTCTCTCTCTCCCTCTCTCTACTGCTTCCCTCTCTCTCTCTCTACTCGCTTGTCCAGCCGTCTATTTTACTCTCTGTCTATGTCTTCAGCTCGTATTCCTTCCCCTCTCTGGTACTCGAATCCTTACGTGTTCTCTGTTGATGACAAATAATAGAATTGCAGATCTTGCAATTCTTCTTTATTATTTTTAATACGACTCAGATGAGTGATTTTACAGTGACTATTTTACCGGGGGGCTTATTATGAGGATGTCTTATGTCTTCACTGTCACTATGTCAGTGTGTCGCCATCAAGGGATCCCCAACCGTGGTCTGCCGGTGTGCACTTGGTTCGGGATTCCTGGTCTCCCTTGTGGTCTTCCCAGGTCCCAGGTCTTAATAACTCCTCGCAGTTTTCCGGTCGGCAGGTGTACACGCTCGTACCAAGTTGGAGACCCCTCTGTCATCATCTAGCGACACTTCAAAATTTGAAATAGGCTACTCTGCATGAACGCACCGCCCCCACAGAAAACCATTTACTTGGTCGAACCAAGTAAAAATCCTTCGATTATTTCTGAAAATTAACAAAAGTTCAGTACCACTTGACTTAATTATTTTATTAATTAGAACTAAGACAATCTCTCGAGAAATATGTGGTTTACCTATGTCAATCTCCTATTTATAATGTATTTTATTCGAGCAATGAAGTTGAGCCTCCATCACCGTGCAGTGTATTCGAACGATGAGTAAAACGAACACGATTGACTTAGCGCCTGGCTGTGTACTCGACCATACACCTTACGCCAGGCTGGACACTGGTCAGCCGGGCCGACGCGGCACTTTCGCCCGGACATAAACTGTGAACACCAGGACCAGCGGGCCAATAATAATGCGGCTAATGACAACCACAGCATCCACGCCCCGATTACTGCCAGGACGCAATGCCTCGCCCCGGGGGCGTTGCTGCTCTCATCAGCCAGTGAGAGGAGAGTGTATAGTCCTGGCACTCCTAAGCCCCTGACTAAAGGAATTTGTTTGTTAGCTAAATCGACATTTATGTCGGATTAATGTTTTCCGGAAGTGCCCACCACCCGCCAGTATGGTGATGCAGGGACAATAATCAAATTTCATTTTCATCACTTTTCCTTGTCACAAGTCTTTTCGCATCCCTTTTTGTGAAAATTAAATTATGGCTTATAGGCTTTATAGGCGGCGACTCTGAATCAAAACACCCCCTTCTCTTCTTCTCACTTCTTCCGGGTCGATGGCCAATCAAGAAACCCTTTCGCAAATAGAGCGCCGATCATAAACTCGCCTATTACCGATAGTGGCGCTGATCACTCTATCGCGCGGATCATCTGTGTACAGAGCCGTGCGGGCAGCCCCGCCCTGCCCCGCCCCGCCCCGCGCACCTCCGCTCGAACAAATGGCCGGGCGGCGCTGCGGGCGCCACACGCGGCCGGCTCATTGACACAGCGACATGCACTCGCTGCACTCGCGTGGCGCTTTCTTTCCTTCCTTCCTCTCCTCGTGCAAATTATTATTATGCGGTTTGGGAGGGGGGATAACTAACTTCGATGGATGGAGCGGCAGAGAAAGGACGGGCGAGCAGGAGGGCCGGACGATGGGGAAAGGGGGGAGTGGGAGGGGGGGGGCATATACTGTGGACAGAGGTGGACCACCGCGTATTGGCCGCGGAACACAACCCGCGCCTGGTGTTCCATAGGGCATGTTGACTAAGTACTTAGTGTTCGGACTAATGCCATTCTGGTTCAGCGTCAATACCATTTGTAATGTAATTGTAACTGCGCTCTTGAGAGCTACCGCATGTGATGCCCTAAGCGAGCCGCCGACGAGGCCACACACACCACCGCAGACGTTTGTCTCACACCTGGCGCCTGTGTACGTGCGGGTTGGCAACCCACTCGGCTCGGGTGCCGTGTGGGCGGCCGTGCGTGCAGGCACGCAGCAGCGGTCGCACACCTCACACACCACGCTCACGCCCTTTGCCTCCCCACGGCCCCAGGTCTACCAGACGGCGCGCGGCTACTTCTTGGTGACGCCCGAGACGCGGCGGCGCCTCGCGTCCATGCAGCACCACTCGTCCTCGTCGCCGTCGCGCCGCGGCCGCCGCTCCATGCTGCTCTCCAACGAGGAGGCCATCGTCATGGTGCACGGCGACATGCAGACCGAGCGCGACGGCCACCGCACGCACCAGTGCGTGCAGACCAACCTGGCCGACGTCATCTGCGGGGGTACGTACGGCTAGCTGCATCAGCTGCATCGGCTGCATCGGCTGCATCAGCTGCCTTTGCTCATGCGTGTGTGTGTGTTCGCAGGCAACCCCGAGGACAAGGTGCTGTACCCGCGCGCGGACCGCCTCAAGGGCGCCGAGTGCGGGCGCGTGCTGGAGCGGCGCCACTCGCTGCGGCTGTCCACGCGCCTGGGCCAGGCCCTGCAGCGCGCCGGCTCGCTCCGGTCCCTGCCGCCGCGGCCGCCCCCCGCCGCCTCCACCGCCGCCGCCGCGCCCGCCCCCGCCGGCCCGGAGAGTAAGTTGTGCCGCGGCCCTCGGCGACCTCGCCGCCCTGTCCTGCTGTGTACTCACCCCGCTGTCTGCCCCCCACAGAGAAACAGTCCCTGCTGTCGCGCCTGTTCCGCCGCTCCGGCCGCAGCAGCCGCGGCCCGCGTGGACGGCGCGGCCAGTCGGCGCCGCCGGGGTCGTCGCAGCCCCGCGAGCAGCCCCCGCACCAGCCGCGCTCGCCCAGCCCCAACATCCGCACGTTCTCGGCGCAGTTCCCCCTCCAGGACGAGGACGACGTCGAGAGGCACCCCGCCGACTGGTTCAACCCCGGCGTCACCACCCTCACCTCCGTCGCGACGCAGACGCAGCCCCCCTGCAGCCCCTGCCCCTCCTCCTCGCCGCCGGCCAGGTCCTCGACGTCTCCCGCCATGTCCAGGGTGAGCATGCGCGTCCTGTCGGCCGCGACCCGGCGTGTCTCAAGTAGAACGCATTTTTACCTGCCATGTGTTCTTGTCTCCTTGCAGTGGGACGGCGCGGGCCGCGCGTCCACGCTGCCGCGCAGCCTGTCCAGAGGGTCGCCGCGGCGCGCCCGCCGCCTCAGCGACTCGCTGAGCGTGAGCCTGCTGAGCGCGGGGGGCGGCGGCAACCGGGCCGCCAGCCCTGCAAGCCACGTTAGCCACGCCAGCCACGCTAGCCACGCTAGCCAGGCCAGCCACGCTCCCACCACGTCCTCCGTGGCCGCCGCGAGCCCCAGCCCCTCCAAGATCCCCTCTGGCAAACACCTGATGGCGGGGGCCAGGAAGACATCTCCGTCCAACACCCTGCTCTCGTCCACGTCCAGCCGCGCGAGTCGGGCTTCCACCTCGGGCATGAGCAAGGCCTCGTCGGGGTACAACTCGTCCCGGAGCACGCCGGGCAGCACGCCGGGGACTCGGAGTGGCTCCCCGACCGCCACGGCAGTGCGCAGGTCGCTGCCCGCCCCCAGCAAGACCCCCTTTACGGTGTGTTACGTGCCTTTATCTCTAATTTTCAGCAGATGATACATTATTTCCGTTGTTTCAAGTTTGAGTTTTTCACCCTACTTATTGTTGGTCCATTTTACCTCCTCCCACCCATCTCCTTACCCGAGATCACGTTTACCCTCTCTATGATGACTTCGATTTGACGAGGGGGGCGATTTCATTTCCTCTCGCGCTCTCTCGGTTGCCACTCTTGCCGCTTTCTTTGCCTCCCCGCTAATCGGATCGTGCTCGGAGGCGATTGCCTGCGCGTCGCGCTGCCCGCTGGCTTGACCCCTTTTATGACCTCCCTCCCCCTGCTGACCACTCTCTTCTAATTAGCGCGCTCGCGCCTCGCCGCGCCGCTTTTCTATACAGAGACACCGCCGGCCTGCCCACCGGCGCCGCGCCACTGGCCGCCGAGCGCTGAGCTCCGAGCGCACTCTTTAGCAAATTCCATTCAAAGACGCTGTCCGTGCGCTACGCTAAAAATGCACTTTCCAACAAATTAGCTGAGAGGTGTGACGCCGCGATACGGCCATGCATTCTTGGGCAGGCTTGCTCCTCCCTTCACCTCGCCCCCCCCCCCCCCCCCCCCCTCCCCCCCCCCCCCCCCCCCCCCCTATTCCTCTGTCTGTCTCTCCTTCTCTGTTTATCCGTTTCTTGAACGTCTTCTTCGCTCACACGATATCTGGTTTTGCAGGGCTCGCCTTCCTCGACAAGCACGTCCCTCGGCTCCGTCCTGGGCGGGCGCAACTCCACGACGACCACCACCACGATCAACGGCGCCAACACCAAGATCTTTGTGCAGCAGCACAACACGCCGGTGCGCTCTGTCATCACGATCGAGAACAGGTCCGGCGGCAGCCTGGCGGCCACGCTGGGGACCACCGTGGGGGGCCCCAGAAGCCGCGGCCCCGTCCTCGAGACGAGCTTTGACCGCACCGTCCCCAAGAGCACCGAGAGCGGCAGCGCTGGCTCTCCGTCTGAGGACGGAAGCACCTCGGCATCGCCGCCCGGTCCCGATGCGGAGAGGTATTCCAGCAACAAGATCAACAACCACAACCTCAGCGGCAAGCCGGCGACGTCCTCGTCGTCGTCCTCCTCGTCGACGTCGTCGGAGGAATCGCTGACCTCGGCGGGCTCGCTGGTGGCCAAGGAGGCCGAGATGAACAACAGCCGCAAGCAGTCTGCTGTCGCGGGGCCCGTCGGCTTCCTGAGGGAGAGCCTCAGCTACAAGAACATCCTCAAGGAGGTTCAGAACTTCGCGGGAGCCCCGCTGCCGGCGCCGCTGCCGGCCCAGCCGCTGTCCGCCAGCCCGTACGCGAGCCTCTCCGACCTGTCGGTGCACTGCAAGTCGCTGGCGGCGCAGAGGATCCTGTCGGGGGTCAGCATCAACTCCATCGACACGCTCGTCGAGGTGAACATGGCGGCCGAAAAGAAGCAGGCCAATTGCGACGTGACCATCCGCACAGACTTTGGCATGGTGTGATGGGGTAAGGGTGCGACGGCAGCCCAGCCCGTTCGGGAAACAAGCGTATATTTATTCGTGCCATATGTTAAGGCCGAGCTCAGACTCCCGTGCCTAGGGGGACTCGCCCGAGCCCATGCCTAGTAAGTGTTTGGCGTGGCACCCTGAGTCCTCCACTGGGGCCCTGGGTTTGGCCCTGGCCTCGAGATGTCTCGTCTCCCTCTGCGACTCTCAAAAGGAGCTTGAGCCTTGTGCCCGCCAGGGTTTCGGTTTTTGCGATCTTTCTGAGTGAAAGCTGCGTGGAAGACCTTAAGGGAGAATATCTCTCCCCCTGGCATCGCTCTCGTTTCGTGAGACAGAGATGAAAAATTTGTCAACATGGCTAATTTTAAAGTGACAACCCCAGAGCCCATGTATTTTAACTCATGAATTGACAGTTTAAACTGCGATGGTGACCTGACCGATCAGTTTCCTTCTTGCCAATGCTGGTTGCAGGAGAAATGTCTTATTCTGTCTTACTGCTTCTAATTCCTTTACTACTTAATGCTGTATAAATTATCAAGTGAATTGTGAAGGATGCCAAAAGACCATTAGGAAAGCTGAAATAGCATTGTCATTGCTCAAAGCATACATGCAATGACAAGATAAGTGCCTTACTATAGTATTTTTCAGAACGACTTTGTCAACCTTTTGTTCATTGAAAATGACATGCGAGATCATAATTGTACTACTCTATGTATTACTTAAAGCGACAAAATAGGATTTTTGGCCCTATAAACATGTTACATGATCTGGTGTTTTTGAATCTCAGACCATTCATTAGTTATAGATCAACTTTTGTATTATTCAGTCGATCAGAGCTAGATGAAGAGGAGCTTTTTTGTGAATAACGTGTAATAAATTGACTAACAGTGCCCTGTGCTTATTATATACTACCGTCTTTCAGTTTTCTCCTTATGAAAGAAGTTTGTGAGACTGCACATAAAACTTACACTAACGCTGAACACAAAACCATCATGATATTATTGTACTGTTGTGTCGTGATCCTGAC